TCGGCGCGGTCGCGCTGCGCTGCCCGGGTTGGCAGAGCTGTGGAAGTCGGGGTTCGAGGCGTTGCGGGCGCCTCTGCACGCCCTGCTCGGTCTCGGTCCGGGGCAGCCCGGGAGGTGTGGAAACTGCCTGTCCCCGGGGCTCTCTCAGAGTAGGAAAGGCGGGGAACGGCCTGCTCCCTCCCACTTTCGGGGCGCCTAGGCCAGTTCGCCCGCGCAGCCCTCGGGAACTTGTTAACCGGAAAGCTTGGCAGAGAAACAAATGCCAACGTTTTGGAAGAACTGAGAGTCACGTCGTTAGGCGCTGAGGCTTTATTTTCCTTCCCCGCCCCCTGCCCAACCTCGGCCCGACTTGGCCAAAGAAGGATGTGTCACCAGCTCGGGGCCCTGGGCGGGATCCCTGGCCCGGCTGGGTGCGGGAGTACCTGGAACAAAGGTAAACGGAAGCCGGGCAGACCCCAGCCCAGCCCTGCGGCCGCCCTTGGGCCGCCCGGGTGGGTCTCACTGCTGCGCAGACCCCCGGCGCCTCTTCGGAGGGGCTTTCTCCTGGGGGACCTCTTGATGGAAACCAGCTGGACGGGCTTGGAGTTAATGTTGCATCTGAACTTGCGTGCTCACATTATTCCCAATCCTCCGACTCTGGTAAAGCTTAAGGAAATTTTATCCAGTTTTAGTGGTCAGCAAATGTAAGGGAGGATAAATTGCTGTTTGTAAATTATAAGGTATTTTCTTATTAGGAAATGGTCAGAAAGCACGAAATAAAAATTCTTAATACGTAAGCAAAAATGCACAATTTGTGCCGTTCAAAATGTGAGGAAGTGTTCCTCCTCAAATCATGTATGTACAAAACAGCTCCCAAACCTTTGGTGCCAGGCATTTTTCTTTGTTCTTCATTAGTCTCAGGCCTCAGTTTCTTGTAAACAGAGCACCCAGTGCTGAGACCTTAGGAATTGCCATACTAGGTCAGGGCATGTGCATCCAGCTCAGTAAGCAGCAGGCTTGTATTGTAGTAAAACAGGGGTTTCTTTTTCTGATGCCATCAGAAACGATCTTTATTTCATTTCTTTTAGTAGTATCCATGACTTTTACTGAAAACCTTTTGAAAAACCTATAGACCACTCCTAATTTATACATACAGTGTTATCACATTATTTGATCCAAATGGTTCTCCTATCCTCTCTGGTAGAAGAACTATCTTATGAGATACTTGTGGGAAAAACTTGGATCTTTTTTAAACGTGGGAGCTCAGAAATTGAGGACAGGAGAAACAAAGTTTTTTAAAAACAAAACTTTGAAGAAATCTTGACCAGGACCAACCTGGCTGCTGGGTTCAAAAATAGCTTTATCCACTATCAACTTGAACATTAAGCAGTTAAAGATTTATTTGTATTCATTAGTATTTGCATATTTTAACATGCAGTTTAACATTCTGGAGTGTGAAAGGGCTATCTGACTTTATCCTAGTCTGAATTAATTTGGCCTTAATGTTTAGCTGAAACCAGCTGCCCTAAGAGAAAGAAAGTTTTGTTTCAGCAAGGAGGGAATAAAAGAGAAGAATAATTTTGGAGTATGGAGTACTTGAGGGAGCACCTGTTCAAACCATAACTCTCCTTTTAAACTCTTCATTACCTCTGGCAAACATAGTCTCCATGGTCATGGCCCTTGTCACCTCTCAATATTCAGCTAAAGATATATACACTTCCTCTCTGAAACTTTTCTTGACATCTGCCCTCACCCCAGCCCAAAAAAACCCTACCACCTGGAGTGGAATTGATCACCCTTTTGGGCATTACCATCCTCTAAATTAGGGGTTTTCGTCTTTAGTGCTGTTGACACTTGGACCAGATAATTCTTTGTTGTAGGGGACTATCCTGTGCATTATAGAGTTTTTGCAGCATTCTAGACCTCTACTTAATAGATACCAGTATTACCTCCCCCCAGTTGTGACAGTCAACTGGTCATACAACCCACTCAGTTGTGACAATCAAAAATGCCTTTGGGTATTGCCAGGAGTCCCCTGGGAGGATGCAGATCAACCCCTCGTGAGAACCACTGTTCTAAACTGACTGCTTCCTTAACACCAGTGACACTGCGTTGTCCTCATTTGCTTATGTGTTGATTTTATCTACTATGCTAAGCTTGAGGGCAGGAACAGTCATTTATTTGACAGATATCTGAGGGAAGGTCTGCTTTGCCAGCCAGAAACTATTCAGATCTGGGAATCCAGTGGTAAAAGCAATTGATGGGGTCTCTGCACTCCTGGACTTTACAGTCTAAAGAGAGTAACAGATGCATACATGTATAATGATACAATTACCTCATTACAGTTGTGATAAATTCTGGGAGAAGTACAGGATGCCCTGGGTACATAAAAGAGGGATTCTGACCTAGTTTTTGGAAGCTAGGAAAGTTTCCTTGGAAAATTAACTTAAGGTGAGGTGGACTCTGAAGGATTAATGAAGTTACCAGGTGAAGCTTGCGGGGACAGTATTCCAGCAGAAGGGATAAGAACTTTCCTGGGAACTCAGAGGCCAGTGTGGTTGGAACATCGAGAGTGGAAAGGGCAGGATGATAGAAAATGAAGATGGGAAAGTCAGAAAAGGCTATCTAGAGCAGCAGTTCTAAGTCCAGTCTGCTCATAAGAATCATAAGAGAAACTTAAAACAATACTAGTGCTGGGCCATTCTCCAAGCCCATTACACCAGAATGTCTGCAATAGTCCTACTCCCTCTCTAGCTGCCATTTTCCCCACATCTTTCAAAGGGATAATCACTGTCAGTAGTTTTCAATATTTTACTATAGCAAACAGCTGGGACCAAGGAGGTAGCAGAGGAGATGGAGAAAAGTAGACGGATCCAGGAGTTATATTTAGGAAGCCTGTATCTAGACATTTCTGTGGGCATTCAAGCAAATGCATATACTTCTTTCTTCCTTTTTTACACAAATGACAGCATACTGTACACACTGTTCTGTTTCTTGTTTTGTTTTCTTGTTCTCTGAACAATGTCTTGGAAATCTTTCCATTTCAATATAGAGTTTCCTTATTCTTTTGAATGACTATTGTATTCCATTTTGTGGATATACCACAGATTATTTAACCACTCTATTGATGGATATTTAAATTGTTTCTAATAATTTACTATAACTATACTATGCTTATGCCATTTCACTCGTGTGAATATATTTGTAAGATAGATTCCTAGAAGTAGAATTGTTGAGTCAAATATATACATACATATTGGAGAAAATGATTTAGAAGGAAACAAAAGTGAATGTGGGGGACAACCTAATTAAGGTTACTGTGTGCTATAGAATGAATTGTGTCCCCCACATAATTGATATTTCGAAGCCCTGACCCCCAATGCGACTATGTTTGGAGATAGTCTTTAGGAGGTAATTAAGGTTAAGTGAGGTCATAAGGGTGTGACCCTAATCTGATAAAATTGGTGGCCTTATAAGAGGAGGAGGGAGGAAAGGCCATGTGAGCACGCAGTGAGAAGGTGGCCATCTATAAGCCAAGAACAACAACCTCACGAGAAATCGACCCTATTGGACATTTATCTGGGACTTACGCAGATTTCCGGGAATTCTATAAATTTCTGTTGTTTAGGCCACCCAGGCTATAGGATTTTAGTATGGCATCCTGTGCCAATGAATACACTGTGTAAAGGTAGGAGAGAAAAGATGGTAGCTGGGACCAAGGAAGTTGGTAGCAGAGGAGATGGAGAGAAGTAGATGGATACAGGAGATATATTTAGGAGGCATAATTGACAGGATTTGATGATTGATATGGCACAAGTGGTGAGAGGGAAAAATAAGTGTGTAGGCTTACTCCCAGGGTTCTGGCTTACCTAACCAGGTGAATGGTGGAGTTGTTACCTGAGATAGAGAATACTAGATGGATAAAAAGTTTTAATGTAGGTTTAAATCACATTTCACTTTGGGACTGGTGAGACTTTCAAGTGGAGATGCCATATAAACATCTGATAATTCAAATCCAGAGGAGTGGGATGAACTGGGGACACAAGTTTTTAGGTGTAAATTGGAAGGTGCGAATGGAATTAACTAAGGCAGATTGCAAACCTGCAACCCACAGCTGAATATGGCTTACAGATGTGTTTTGTTTTTCCAATACAGTGGTTTTTGTTTCTGTTTAATTTTGAGTTAGTTGCCAATAATTTAAAATCTGAAGCTTTCTCATAAAAGTCCAGATTTGGGTTTTTTGAAAAATAAGAAGATGTAGCACCACTGAGCTGGCTTTTCCATATGGCAGCAATTGTTTGAAGCTAAGTCACAACTGATCCCAGCTGCTTTAGAGTTCACTAAAGAGCCCACCACTCCCTAAAACTTATGCTTGGCCTAGTTTGCTCATTTATTTCTCTGACCCTTTAGGCAATTGAGTGTGTGATCCCTGCCCTAGGAAGAAAGTATAAAATAGTGAGTCTCATCTTGGCTGCATATTGGAAACATTGGATAATTAAAAAATATGGATACTAGAGTCCACCCCAGAAATTTCTTTTTCTGTTTACTTGGTCTGAATTGTAGCCTGGAATTTTTAAAAACTCCCCAGGTGATTCCACTGAGCAGTGGAAGCTGAGAACTATTAATAGAGATTAAGAAGAGGGCTCAGACCCAGCATTTCAAAGTTGGGTAAAGGAGAGTAACCTCAGGACAGGGGTGAGAAGTGGCCAGAGAGGTACAGTAGAATGGTGCCATTAGAAACGATGCTTACTTACAGTTAAGGTGTGCAGACTTAACCTAATGCACTTAAAGGTATTTTAAATTAGATGAGAGAGAGCAAAGTTTTATTTTATATCTATACTTCCTGTTTGTATTGCATGTTTGTATACATATATGTTGTTCGTTACTGCGTAGAGATATGTACACACACACACCAAAAGAACAGGTATGCTTTACTTAATGGGCCATTATAAAGTTTTTCAAGAGTAATTTAAACTATAGTTGATTTTTGTCTTAGGTGCTTACTTTAGAATCTAATTCTAGTTTAAGATGTGTAATAAAAGGCAAGAAAAGAGTATTTCTAAAAGAAAAGTCAGCAAGTAGAAATATAGACTGAAAATGATTTGTTAAATTTAGCAAGATGAAGTCTTTGACCTCAGCAAAAACTATTTTAGATTGGAAGAGGCAGAAACCAGATTGAGATGGGTAAAAAAGTGAGGAAATGGAAATGGCAAATGTTGGAAAATCTTTTGAGAAGTTTATCCAAAAAGGGGAGTGGTGAGGGAGGGACAGTTATCTTTTATGTCTCTACAATAGGTGCTCAGACTGTTTGTTACCCGAATACTTCTAAATCTTTAGGGAGGTAGCTCAATGGTGCTTGATTACCCCTCTCCTCCATTTAGAGTGGTCTTGCTTGTATTTGTTTTGAATGCTTTATACTTTTCAATAAAGAGATATTTCGCCAGGACCCTCGAG